ATAAAAGAAAATGCCCTGGTTTGCCCATTGGCCCCCTAAATGCACCTAGTGGGGTGTGGTACCCCCCAGATCCAGCCCAGTTACCAGGAAAACAAAACTATTCTACCTATAGCTGCTCCATCAGCTCTGGCTATTCCTAGACATTGGTGGGAACCCTGGATCTTACTTAACACAGGAACTCCAGTTCCCATCACTGAAATGATGGGAGGGAACCCCATATGCTCTGCAGTTTGCTTTCTTCACTCTTTAACAGGTGGATGTGTTGCATTGGTGCTAGGAAGGAACTCCTTTTTGAAGGGATCTCATTACTGCCCCCCCCGCCCCGCCCCAAGCATGAAAAAGTGAGGACTTAGAATTCTTCACGTTTATTTTATAGTTAATGCTGTTGTAGTAAATGCTGATTTCATTTTGGATTACAAGATATGGGTGCCATATTGTTCTTTTTTAAATTTTGGTGTCTAACATTTGCAATGTGGCCTCCTGTGCCACTTTGCTTCCCCTTAACCCTTGTAATCATATTTGGCCTTTGAGCCTCCGAAAAGTGACAACAGAAATACAAAGAGAAGCAATTAAAGTATGTTTTGTTTTGTTTTGTTTTGGTCTTTTTGAGACAGGGTCTCCCTGTAATCACAGCTGGCCTGGATTCACTATGGAGGCCAGACTAGCCTTGAACTCACAGAGATCTGCCTGCCTCTGCCTTGGAAGTGCCGGGATTAAAGGCTTGTTCCCGGCTAGAAAATGTTTTTAACATTTAAAGTTCAAGGTTTTGGTATAAACACTGATTTGGCAGAATATCCTCTCCCCTGCCACCAAGGAAAAACTTTCCTTTTACCCTGGAAATTGGGACTAGGACAGAATCAGACCCTGCCTTGGGTACATAAGGGAGGGAATAGCCCAGGACAGCATAGAAGGTCCAGAAATTCCCATCCAGCTCAGAGCTGGGCAGTGGGCTCAGAGACCATGAGTAGCTGGGACAGTCCCTGGGGTAATAACTTAGCAGCCTGAGCTTCCTGTGATTCCAAAGCCATAACAGAGAAGCTAAATCCTCCCATGTCCCTAAAATGGACATGACATTTACCTGAGAGACAGAACTGATTGCTTGAGGCTTTGCAACCATCAGGCAAGGCTGTTTCAGTGGGAAGTGAGACTGAACACACAACCAAGGTTCTGACAAGGACATCCGTGTGTCAGCAAGTGTCTGTGCAGACTTGGCCTGCCCCACCTCTAGCATCCTCACCCTGGATTAGCTCCCTGCACTGAGCAGCCCCTCTAAGTAGAACATGCTGAGGATCCAGAAATGACTGCCTAACACGACCAGCTGGCCCTGCTTGCCTGGAACCTAGTGACATGGTTGTCTGCCATCACTTAGACATCTGTAGAAGAGATGTAGCTGAGTTGTTAAAAATTATGTTCTTTGGGTTGAGGAGATGGCTTGGTGGGTAAAGCACTTGCTGCACAACCACGAGGACCTGAGTTTGGATCCCCAGAACCAAGAGAAAAGGTATACTTTGGCTCACGGTTTGGGAGGTTCCACCTTGTGTTGCTGAGTTGCTGTGATGAGGCAGCATGTCATGGTGGGGAGAATGTGGCTGAGCAAAGCCACTCACCTCACAGCTCAGAATGAAACCGAGAGACAAAGGGGCCTGGGTTCCAACATATTCTTCAAGGGCACACCTCCAAAGACTGGAAGACCTCCCAGTCACCAGTACCTCAAAGCTGGGGATGAAGCCTTTAACACACAAGTCTTTGAGAGACAGTAAGATCCAAACTATAACAAAGGTCAAAATCAGTGGTTGCCTCTGAGTGGAATGATTCTAAACAATTTTGACTTTATAATTTTCTTTATTTCCTATCATGTCCATCTAGAATGTTTTAATTAGAAAAAAGTCATTCAAAGTAATTAATAAAATGCTAAGGGGGGGATGGTTTAGTCAGTAAAGTCTTTGTCAAAGCCCACATTAAAAAAAATCCCAGCACTGGGGAGGTGGAGACAGGATCCCTGGAGCTCTCTGGCCAGCAGCCTAGCCCATTTCATGAGTTCAATGCCAGTCAGAGACTCTTTCTCAAAAAAAGGGGGGAGAGTGGATAGTATCTGAGGAATGATACCTGAGGTTTCCTCTGGCCTCCATGGACATGCACACGTGTGCACCTGTACACACATGAACATGCCTACATACATGTACAAAGGCACACACACAAAATCCTAAACACCATTTGGAAATCTATTAACATCAATAGAAACTGCTGTGGTGGTGCATGGCTATAATCCCAACACTGGGAAGGCTGAGGCAGGAGGATCTCCAGTTTAAGGCCAGCCTGGGCTACATAATGAAACCCTGTCAAAAACAAAAGAAAAGCCACCTGCAAACTGATTACAAAGATAAACAGCTCTTCTTTATTGCTTACTAATTATTATAAGAAAATCTCTCCATTCATATACCAGAGATTTTTTTTCCTCCTGAGATTGACAAGTTCTTCTTGTAGCGCCACAGCCATAATGGCCTGTTCCCCTGCATTAGAAGGCTCCCGTCCATCTATGGTGTGCTTTAGTAGCCCAAGAGGGATAGGGAGAGCGTCCCAGCCACCACGAGCCCCTGCTGCACCCTCTGCATTGTCACAGAGACAGTCCAAATAGCTACAGGAGAAATGGTTCCAAAGTGCCATTTAAAAAAACCCCAAAAACCCATTTTATTAATTTTTAAATTTTATGTGTATGACTGTATTGCCTGACTGTAACTGTGTCCATGTTGTGCAATGCCTGCAGAGGTCAAAAGAGGGGATCGGGTTCCCTGGAATTGGAGTTACAGGTTGTTAGCTGCTATGTGGGCGCTGGGAATTGAGCCCAGGTCCTCTGCAAGAGCAGCCACTGCTCTTAACCATTGAGCCATTTCTTCACCCCCCCATAGAAATACTTTTAAATTATAAAATGACAGATCTCTGATGCAGGTATGGTGGCACACACCTGTAATTCCAGCACTCATGAGGCTGAGGCAGGAGGTCTCAAGAAGACCAACACACACACACACACACACACCAAAAAAACCCAAAACCAAAACAAAACAAAAAACCCACCAAACCAACAGGGTTGGCAAGATAGTTCAGTGTGTGAAAGTCTCTTCCATGTAATCCTGGTGATTTGAGTTTGATCCCCAGAACCCATATGAGAGTGAAAGGAGAGAACTAACTCCACAAAATCGTCCTCTGATCTCCACATGCATGGCCCTCACCTGACATCATGTACCCACCCCATCCCACACAAAATAAACTTTTTAAAAAAATTCGAATTATACACACACAAAGTCTTAGTCATTGTATTTTACATATATATACATTGTATTTTATATAATGTGAAAGATCTTGGAATGGGTTGTAAATGAGGCATTGGGAATAGATGGCTTATTACCACTTTCAGGTAATTGTGCAAACTTAAGGAAAGAAATCATGATGGTTGGCATTGGGTCAGAATTAACTGCTTCTGTCAAGAACTTCCAGCAGGGGGCAGAAGGATACTGAAGGTGGCTGTCCCTTCCTTGTAACTAACCTCCACATCAGGACAAGTTAATGCTTAGGCTCCAGGAAACCCACAAGAGAATGAGAGAGAACTGTTCCTCCTCCTCCTCCTCCTCCCCCTCTTCCTCCCCCTCCCCCTCCTTCTCCCCTTCTCCTTCCTCTTCCTCCTCCTCGCCCTCTCCCCCTCTCCCCCTCCTCCTCCTTTTTTTTCAATTTAGCAAGTCTCAAAGCCACTATTTTCTTCTTTGTTGTGTATCTGTAAAGGGACTTAAGGCAGCTTCCGAAGTTCCATAAGAGGAAGATGCCCAGAATCTCTCCTCTTTGCCCCAGATAATCAGCATTCGTTCTGGTATCAGCATTCAGCCAAGTAAGAAAGAAGAATTTGGTCCAAAGCTAATAAGAGATGGATTTGGAACAAAGGTCCCATAGACTTGAAGTGAAGCTGAAGCTGTAATAGAAACCATTAGTGAAAGATCTGGTAAGAAAAAGCAGGGGTAGAGAACTTTAGTACCAGGCTGTCCTTGGCTAGCCTGACCCTGGGCAAGCCACTTCCACTCTTTGAGAGTCTGCTTCCTCTTCTGTAAATGGATTAGACAGCTACTGGGATCTCCTCCATCTCTGAAGGGAACCTAAGGAGACTACACGGCTCTGCAGAAAACAGAAGCTGAAATGAGTTTCATGCTTTGGGCCCATGTGGGACCCTGGAGTTTAAGGAGGGAAGGCATTGGTCAGAGCATGTTATTGATGCTGTATAAGAAGTGTTTTGTATGGAAACTACGCAGCTCCAACTTCTGCACCTGTGCCATCTATTTCTAGCCTCTGCACTGCAGGACCCAGTCGGGAACCCAGGAGTGGTTTGCATTATTTCCATCCAGAACTCTCTAAGAAAAACCTGGGAGGCCCAAAGCTACCTGCTCAGTGTTCTCTTGAAGCACCCTAATTGCCCATGCACCTCAGGGAGCCCTGTTTGGGGAGCCCTGGAGTATGGGACTGGCTCAGGTCCTTGTCCTTGAAGTATGTGGCCATGTCAGTGTCTACTAGAGACCATCAAGACCACTCAGGTAGGAACACATGTGCCATAGAGTTATCAAGCCAACACAAATTTGTTTGGTTTCGATCTTTACTTTCAATTCCAGTCTCTTTCCTTTTCATTACAAAAGCACTAAACAAACATGGACAGGAAAAAAAAAAAAAAAAAAAGG